ACAGAATTAAAAATCACCCATCATATCAAGAATTAGGATGAATGAGGGTGAATGAGGAAGAGCACATGAATAGATACCAACAATGAGAAGAAATGGGCAATGGAATTATCTGAAAAAGATTTAAAGTCAACCATCATTTTTTAAAAAGCTTCAGTGAGTACTTATCAACAGACTTGAAACAAATGAGAAAAGTTTTAGCAAAAAATAGAAGATACAAAGAAGAACCAAATAGAAATTTTAGGACTGAAAAATTCAGTAATCAAAATAAACTCCCTTCATGGGCTTAATAAAAGAATGGAAATGAAAGAGGAATGAAGTAGTGAACTTAAAGAAAAAACATTGGGAATTACCCAATTTTAACAACAGGGAGAAAAAAAGACTAAAAAAAATAACAGGGCCTCAGAGGCCTGTGGACAATAATAAAAGCTCTAATATTCCTTGGAATTGCAGAAGATGAGAAAGAACATGGGTATGAACAGATACTCAACAGAATAAGGACTGAAAATTTTCTGCTTTCCCGAAAAGCATAAACCTACAAATTCAAGAATATTAGTAAACCCCAAACACACTAAAGCCAAGGAAATCCATGCCAAGGCAAAGCATAATCAAATTTATATAATCTAGAGACAATGAAAAACTCTCGAAAGCAAATAGAGAGAAATGACACATTGCCTATAGAGGGAACACCTGTTCAAATGATAGGAGATTTGTCATGAAAAACCATGGAGGCCAAAAAGAGGTGGCATAATATTTTTTCACATGCTGAGAGACAAGAACAATCAACCCATAATTCTATATGTAGAGGAAATAACTTCAGAAATGAAGTTAATTGATCTTATCTTCAAATGAAGGAAAGCTAAGAGAATTTATTGCCAGCAGACCTAACGTAAAATAATGGCTGACGCACATTCTCTACATGAAAAGGGAATGATAAAAGAAGGATAGGAAACAATAAGCAAAAATATGGGTTAAATACAATAGAGTAGCCGCTTCTTGAATTTTATAAATGATATTTGACATTTTGATAATGTATGATATCATTTTAAATGTATTAGAGGAGATAGTTAAAACAAGTATATTACAATTGGGAACAGTAAAGGGACATAAAAAGAGAAATGGTTTCTATACTTGACCATACTGTAAAATAATAGTACCATAGACTCTGATAAGTTACAGATATATAATGCAATACCTGGAGGAACCACTAAAAAGCCATACAAATATGTACACTCAAAAGCAGTACAGGTAAATTAAAAGGGAATTCTAAGAAATTTTCAGCTAACCCACAGGAAATATGCACATGAAAACATGCTCAAAATTATTAGTCATAAGGGTAATGGTAATCAAATTCACAGTGAGATACAGCTTCATACCAGCTATAACAGCTGTAATAAAAAAGACAAAAATAAGGTGGTGAGGATGTGAAGAAGAAATGTGAACACTCATACAGTAGTAGAAATATAAAAAAGTGCATTCGTTTTGGAAAACATTTTGGAAAACATTTTGGCAGTTTTTCAAAATGTCAAATAGAAAGTTACCATAAAAATAAATAAGTAAATAAAGCTACTGTATGACCCAGCAATTCCACTCTTTGGTATCTACCCAAGAGAAGTACAAACATGTTCACACAAAAACTTGTACATAGATGTAAATAGCAGTATTATTTATAGTAAAGAGCCAAAAATAACCCAGATGTCCATCACCTGAGGAATTGATAAACAAAGCGTGTTGTATACATACAGTGGAATACTGTTCAATAAAAAGGAAGGTGATATTGGTGAATGCTGGTATAGATGATCCTTGAAAACATGTGAGGTGAAAGAAGCCAGTCACAAAAGACCACTTACCTTATGTATATGCAATGTCTAGAGTAGGCAAATAGAGAGAAACTAGATGAGGGTTTCCTAGGGCTGAGGACGGATGTGGGAGATGAGGTGGACTTGGAAGTGAGGCGAGAGGGGTAATGGGTAGTGACTGTTACAGAGTTTGGTTTTGGGTGATGAAATTACTTCATGATGACTATTTCAAAACTGTAAATATAAAAAAAACATTGAATTATTAACTCTAAATGCATGAATTGCATGGTATGTGAACTATATCTCAATAAATTGTTAAGTAATATATGGACCTATGTGAATCTTAGGTTTCTGAGGACTTTGCCCCCTTTCCTATATGTGAATTAAGTGCATGCTCTAATCTTCCCCTCTAAAAGCAATACAGTTGACAAATGAGAAAACTGAGGCACAAATAATAAGCTGTTTTCCAAGGTCACACAGCTAACTCCCGAGCTCCACATAGCAAACTCAAACAGATTTCCTGGCTATACACAAGGGTGATTAACAATAGGCTGGGGAAAGATGGGGAAGGCAAGAAAAGGAAACCATTTCCAATAAACATATTCAGTTGTGATAATCTGGGATGAAAAAGGCAATCCGGTATGACAGAAGTTTTTATTGCCTTTCTCAGGGGTTTCGGAACTGCTTGTAGTTGATAAAGCCATTCAGAGTAAGGATTTGGGACAAGGGCTTATACTCAATTCTTTGCAGTGCACATTACTACTGAGGGAGACAGCAGGTGACTTAAATCTTCAGTAAAAATCATTGTAGGGGAAGAGAAACACAAATGATAATGTTAACAACTGCCGAATCTTCTCTTCGGGAGTTTATTGATATTCCTAAATGATAGGAGTAGAAAACTGATGGAAGAAAAGGCAACAGCCTTTAAAGGTGGATTAATTTGGCATGTTGTTTTTCTGTCAGTCCTATTATAGCACTTGACAGGAAAAAAGATGCATTTGATGCCATTTACTTTTTTCAACATGGCCATTACTTCAGAAATATTATCACTTTTGATTTTTCAATTTTTGCTGAAATGGTATTTGATATAGTTTTGTTCTCATTATGGAGTCTCTGTCTCAATTTGCTGAAAAAGATTGCAACCCCACTGAAGTATGGCAGAAAATTAATTAATGTGTGTGGCTATTTAAAAATCATTCAGGAAGAACATCCAAGTGGTATTTTCTAGACTGTCTGACTTTGATCTGAATATTCTTTCCTTGCAATGACACAGATTTCGTGGCCGGCAGCCATGAGCTAAAACCTGGAAATTTTTGAGGTTTGCATGTTCCAGGTCACACAGGCTGGGGTCCTCAAGGGTGGGCCAGTGGGGAGAGGAAGCAGCTGAGGGAAAGAAGGGTGGTGGTGAGGGAAACTTGCTTGCCTGTTGGGGATGACCCCAAAAGACAGCCGGCCTTTCTAATATGCAATGTCCAAAAAGCATGTTTATCTCAGACCACGTCCAGTTACATGGTGGATAAAGGTGTTCTGATCCTATACAGAGCTGTAATTCACACAGCGGGCAGTACAAGATGTCTGGTGTAAGAGGCTACTGTGGTTCCAGGCAACTTGCTAGTCAGAGAGCTTTTGGGATTATCCAACTTTCAGGAACAAATAATTAGTGAGGTGTCAGGGCAGCACACAAGCAGGCTATGGTTCAGGGTGGGATTTTGTTGTCACTGGAATGTGGGAGTGTTGGGCAGAAGGAAACAGGGTGAATGCTTGTTGTGGAGCCTGTTTCAGCATGGGGTGGGGCTTACGTGAGGCAGAGCCCATGTGGTACATTTGATACTATGTCAGTGACAGCAAAGTTGATTCTAACCCCAATGGAAAGTGGGTCAAGGTTGCTAATAAAATTAGTGTTGTGATCAGGCTTTGTGGCGGAGCCACCTTTGGTGTGTCCAGGTAGAAATGTCTCAGAACTGTGGGCTTACACGCACTCACAGATGGCATCAGCGACCATCATTGTTATGTAAGGAGTCCCATGCAGTAAGATGTCATAGCGTGTGGTGATAGTGAGCAGAGACTGTATCATATAGGTGGAAATTTGAGTTTCACATCTTCTGTTTACTATTTGTATGACCTTGGGTAAGTTACTTAACAGCTCGGTGCCTCAGTTTCCTCTGTTATAGAGTGGGGTTAAATGATATTTATCTCCTACGGTGATTGTAAGGGTAAAATGAAACAATGCACTTCAAGTGCATATCTCGCAGGAAAGAGGGGATGTTTTCAATTCTAGCAGTTCATCATGGTGCATCGTGATAGAATGCCTTGCTACTCAATATGGTCTGCAAACCAACAGTATCACCTGTGAACTTGTTTAAGGAGCAGAATCTTGGGCTCCATAGCAGTCCTCTTGAATCAGAATCTGTGTTTGCATGAGGTCCACCAGAAGAATCCTGTGCACATTAAAATTTGAGAGGACCTGTATAATGGTTTATCTTAAGATATGTATCCTGCTTATAGCTGTCGAAACTTGTTCAAGGTAGTTAAGCTCTCTGAGCATATATCCCCATCTGTAAAAAGAGAATAATTAACATGTTAGGATTAGGAAGAGCATATGAAATAACATGTCAGAGTACTTAATGGTACTCCAACAGTGTATGGGCAGTGCAATCTGTGATTGCTAGGAAGTAATAATAAGTAATTTTCAGGGCTTTAGATGTGGTCAGCTATTGCCAGGCCTTTGGCTTTATAAGTCCCTCACCATGATCCTAAAATAGATAGCGATAGAGCTTTAGTGAACTAGGCTAATTCCTTTTTCTGCCCCCCCCCAGCTTTATTGAAGTATAATTGACTAAACTGTACATATTTAAGGTATACAATGTGATGATTTGATACATGTATATATTATGAAATGATTATCACAATCAAGTTAGTTAACACATCCATCACCTCACATAGTTAATGTGACTGTAAATATGAGATGGCAAGCTTTTTCTGTCAGGGGTAGATAGTGATAATGTTTGGCTCTGTGGGTACACAGTCTCTGTTGTGACTATTCAACTCTGCTCTTTTAGTGAGAAAGCAGCTATAGACAGGTAGGCAAACTGTTCCCCCCCCCCCCAAATGCACAAAATAGATGGCATGGTAGATCAAATTATGAGGGAAAAAAAGAGAAATTTGAGGCAGATCTTGGAGTTCATTCCGAGCCCTTTCCTCAAGGTCTTCTGGGGACCAAGGAAGGAAGCAGAGATGATCATATCGTTGGCTGTGTGTTGGAGCTGAGAAGTGCAGGGTGAGGAAGAGGGTACATCTTTTGGATGAGGTGAGTATTGATTCTCATTTAACACCAAGGTTGAGCTTGGGAGTGGGTCTGTTCCTGGGGGCAGTGTCTCCTTCATTCAGTGTTGGCTTATGCCTAGAGCCTTCCTAGCCCTAGTCCATTCTGTTAAAAACTTGCCAGAGAGTCACAGCTTAGCCCCCGGCAACCATCTTAAACAACATAGCTTGTAAAATGGTTGATTTTTCCATGGCCACACATGAAAATCCCAGTGGCCCCAAATACGAGTCTTTGGTTTACAGGGGAACTGAGCAGTGGAGTGTATTGGCATAAACTGTGTGTTTCTAGTTGGCAGGCTTGCAGGGCCTCTTGTTTTGAGCCAGGAAGGGCAGGGTCATAAGCAGAGGCCTGAGGGCACCAGGAGGATTGACCCCACTGTAGAATCAGTGTCTTAGGCTAAAGTACATTTCTGTTAAGAGTTGGACTGCCATTGTATCCAGAAGAATCAGGCAGTGGGTGGGGTCTTAGTAGTGGGATCTCTGGGTTGTCATTTTCTTTCCAGAGGAGTTGATTGAGATTGAGGCAGAGCCTGAGCAAGTGGAAAGACCAGGCTCCAACTCTTCAGAAAAGGAATCTGGCAAGGGATTTGGTGCCCCAAGCCAAGGTGGAGCAAACTCAGTGCTGGAGTTGAAGCCCAGGAATTAGGGAATGGGTACACCAGTGGGGGCCAGGGGACAGCTGCAGCTCCAGGAGGCTCCTACTACCACCATCAGGCATGTTCTCGTGGAAGGCAGGTTGTAAGGCTTTTCGGTCCACTGTGGGGCCCAGGGGTATCAAGTAGGGACTGGCTGGCATGAAGTCCCAGATTCATACACATAATTTTGAGTTTTGGTACATGCCTGGATGCTATAAGTTACCATACCTATTTTAAATCTCATGACCTTGCCTACTCACTCGAAGATTACTGAGGATGTTGTTTTGTGAGAAAAAGGGAAATTCACCTGCATGCATGCTCAGTGGACTTTTGTAGCAGTCTGATTGTTGAGAAGGTTTCCAAAAAACCTGTTGAACTGTAAAAGCTGGTTACTCTTGGGATCGTGTATCAGTCATGGTCCAGTGAGGAGGCAGAAACCTCTTAAGTGGTTTTAACAGAAAAAATGTGCACCTAGGTATGAAGAATTGTTAACGAGGTATAACACTGTTAACTAAGATACTAAACAGGGAAAAAAGAAAACACTAAGCAATCAGAGAAGGAGAAGCTACAGGAGACAGCATCCACTTCTGGGGCTAGGGAAACAAAAAGAAGAGACTGGAATTCTATTAGCAGGTATTCTTAAAACTTAGCAGTTCAGAGGAGGGTGTCCCTGGAGTTAAACCCGGACCTCTGAGGATGGTGCGTTGTGATGTTTCTGAGGAGAGAGTAATGAAGCTGCTTGTACAAGGGTTGAAAAATCTGCAAACCGCATTCAGCTGCTATCACGGGACGGCGCTGCCACTGCAGTGGAGAAGTGTTGGAGGAAACCTCACAGGAAGCAGACTGGAGGGAGCAAGTCTCCCCCTCCTTCCTCTAGCCCTGCAGTCCCCTCTAGAGCTAATAGGGCTCCATCCAGCAAAGCAGAAATGTGCACTGCGGAGTCCCAGCCCCCACCTCACAAACCAGGCAGGGAAGAGCAGAGCAGGTAGGAGCTGAGAGAGAATGGACAATTAACCCAGAATGCTTTTGTGCTCTTTGGGGACAAGCTCTTTGGGTTCGCTGGGCCTGTCTGTCCACTGAGATGAGAAATGACTCAGGAGAACCTTCCCATTTTCTCCATCATTCTCCCTTCCCAGTATCCATAAAGCGATCCACAGAGAAATCCCATGGTGGGTGCTCCCTAGGCTTGAATTGAGTGACTGAGAAGATGAAGTTAAGGGCTCCAGAATTCTCTGTTCCTGGAAAGGAGAAAGAATGCAAGGGCAGAATTTTTCTGCCTTTATCTCCCCCCCAACCCAGTGAAGTTAAATTCATACTACTCTGGCCTGCACATGATCTGGTAGGAAATAAGTACAGGGCCAATTTCAGCGCAGCCGGAGCAAATGTTAGATTTTGTGACAGGAAAATTAAGGGCAATGATTTCTTCTGGGCAGTTCTTTAGAATAACACACATGCTAGAACATGTTCTACCTTTTTTTCAGAATTTAAAGGCAGCCAGAGTGGGAACTCCGTTTCACACACTACTCTTCAGAGAGAGCAACCATTCTGAGATAACCATGAGGTTGTTTACAGGTGATACATTGGAAGAGAGTCCCTGCTTAGAGCACAGAACAGAGTTGGAGCTAATTGGGAACGGCAAGAGCTAGAGAATGTGAGACCACTGATGACAGACTGGGAGTTTTGTAGAGTTGTTTAATTATTCCTGTTACAACAGTGAGGCCATTCCAAATGCTACCTAGATAAGCAAAGGACATACAAGTAGAGTAATGAATCATAGACCCCAGCAGTAAGACAAGAGGACGAGTAACATAGCACTGGCTGAGGTTTTCACCTTTCCTTTTTGAGGAGCAATTAAAGTTGATCCCATATTTCCTATGTGTATTATTTATTAGGAGTATGTCTATGTTTGATTGCATCAGTTTTTATAAATCAGACACTGTTAATTGCACAGCCCATTATTGTTGACCCCGTCCTTTGCTTTTCAACACATCTAGTTTATCCCTTGAAAAGTGAACCTACAAATGCAGAAAAATTACTTTCAATCCCAGACTGTGTGGAATAAATCTAGATCTGTGTGTTTCCTATGCTGTAATTATAGTTCTTCTTAATATACACCGGCTTCCTCCATTCTAGTTGGCTCTGAATCATGATTTTTCTGACCACTCATTATTGATTATCACTTCTGGCTTTATTGCCTGACTGACCCTCGTCAGATGGCAGCTGTCTGGACTGTACCCTCTGACCTGGAAGAAGAGGTAAAGAAGTACATGCCTATCCCAGTGGATCCCTGCTCCAACTGAGATCAGAAGAGTGGCATCAGGCATTTCTTAAATTATCCCTTGGTAATCTCAATATAAACGAAAAGAAGGGTACTTCTGACACCAGTGGCAGCTGAAGTTAAGTTCTGATGCCTTGGACGATTATACCAAGTGATAATTGCCCCCTCCAGAACGGTATCTAAACTACATTTATTTTTGATCTGCTACATATCATACTACATTGTATCAGCAATAGGTGTGGTTGCAAGCAAAGCGGAGGAGAAGCAAAAGCCTGTAATTCTTTAGGTATTAGGGAATCCCTCTTCACCTTGTGTTTCTGCTAAAGCTGGGGGCATTTTTTTTCAGGAACCACACAAGATTCTCGCTGGAATTGTTAAGAGCATAAACGGTGTCAGAAGTGGGCGATGAAATTTCCAAGGGAAGCAGGGATAGCTGGGCTGGTGTCATAATTGCAAGTTAGGTCTGCCATGGGAAATGTCATTCCTGAAATGAAAAACAAAAGGTTACACACCATCAATTGGTTGGCTGGACTGGTCAGATTGCCTGAAAAGGTTAAGAATTACTGGTTTCAACCATGTCCATGGGAGAAAAATGGAAACTACAGAAGGGTGGACAGATAATAAACATTTTTTTTTATTTGATAACATGGTGCAGCAAATAAAAACTTGTGGGCAGAAACAGGGGGAGAAAGGTGTCCAGAAGGGTATAATTTTCTCCGCATATTTGCCTGCTTCTTGACAACATTGGCTAATAGGTAGCAATGGGAACTAAAGCAGAGTAGATTTCTGAGGTATGCTGGGTGAGTAGAGCTCCTTTATAAAGCATCATGACTGGCTGCTTGAAGTCTTGAGGTCAAGACTGCTAAGGATTAGGAGAGGATGCAAATCCAAGTGCATCTCATTCAAGGAGCAGGGCAGCAAATTAGATTTTCCTTTCTATTTTAGAGAGGGACACAAGTAAAATTAAGAAGGTTTCAGCATTTTTTAGCTACATTATAAACCCCAGCATAGGGTGAGGTTAACTCTTGCTCACTTGCTTTATGGAGAGGCAACATGCTTTGTCCCTGAAATTTCAGGATGAATTGTTCATATCAGTGACTCACTCACTAAAAAACATTATGTTGACTATGTGCTTAGGCTCGTGCTAGTGCAAGTTACGCTCTTGGTCCGAGGAGAACTTTTCCCCTATAAATTGTGGGGCTGTGGCCTGTTGGACATCTTAGAGTTGATGAGCTAACTCTGAAGCTGAGTACATTGCTCAAGACCTTTGCAGTTCTTAGTTCACGTTTTCCTAAGTGGATGAAATATCTGAGGATCATATGTACCTATTACTTGGACTTTATGAACGGAGCACATTTGGGTTAGAAGTGAGTCTAAGTTGCCTGGTGGGAACTGTATGCAGATACTGGATCACACTACCAAAACAGAGATCTGCTGATTTCATCCTGGTGGCCACATTGGTCACTTGGTCATGGCTGCCTACAGAGTCTAACGGGGAAGGATTAATTATTAGGGTTCCGATTGATTTGTGGTGTCTCTCACATGTTGGCAAAGGGAGGCAGCACAATGACACCATGTGTTTGCCATCTCCATCCTAAAAGAAAGCATCTAACAAACAGTTTGAGAAAAGCCTGGCTGTTGAAGGGTCATATTACATCAACTTGATGAGCCTTCTTCCAACTACCCTGCTGTGGTGGTCTCCAGATATTATGGGCCATGAAGGAACCATCAGTGTTTTGAACATGAAACTGTATATACTATTCATTGAACATTCCTACTTGGTGCTGTAATGGCCCAATAATTTTTAACCATATTGCACAGGAGGTAATCAAAATTTAATGGCCAAAATATTTTAAAGGAACCAAAAAATGTGTTGCTCTGGAAATAAGTTTGTACGTGACAGTGTATATACCTCTTGGGGATTTAATATTTTCCAAGTTTTGGTTTCATTGAGACTCATAGTTGAGTGAAAAATATTTAAGCCCATTATGTGATGAATACTGTTTAATAATTGGATCTCTGTAACATAGTGTAAAACAATTATGAAAA